GTGGGCCTTGCATGTAGTAGGCTTTGCATGTAGGACTCTGAGTAGCCTCGAGCCCTCCCAGAAGTTTCAGAGAGACCCTCAAGCATCCCCACGTGCGGCTTAAAACAAGCAAAATTGAATATATTAGTTGTAGGGACTGACTTCCTTTAAAAAATTTGGGGGGACCGCGGGTGCCGTATCTGATGATGCTCAGGAATTACTCCTGGCTGTGCTCAAGGAACCTTATGGGGTCGAACCCAGGTTGGCTGTGTGCAAGACAAGTTCCCACCCTCTATACTATCTCTCAAGCCTCCTAAGACAGTTTCCGGGAAAAGTTTTTATCCCATCATTGATGGTTGAATGTATTTCATGTTTATAATAAGTTTGTGTTCTTGTAGGTCAGATTGAGTTGTACACACACCTGCCCGTGATGAAACAGCTGGTTCAGCAGCTGGAACAGTGGGTGTTCCGTGTCTGTGGAGTGTTTCTTATTGATTCTCAATTCATGGTGGAGTCGTTCAAGGTTTGAAACTATACCTGTCCTTAATTTTTCAGTCTCTGGCACAAGCAGAGTACAAATACCTTTAGTCATAATCGTTTAATTGTTACCAGTTCATGAACTATACCCAGGAGTGACTTAGAACTTATTTTTGTTAAATTAATATGCCACGAAGATGGCTCCAGTGGCAGAGCACAGAGCTGGCATGTTTGAGGCCCTGAGTTTGCCCCTTGTGCAGTTCTAGTGGTCCCCAACTCTCAGCTGTCGCCTTCAGGAGTAGTCCCAGGGCAGTGTCAGAAGTAAGTCCCAAGCACCACTGTGTGTGGCTACAAAACCAAAAAAAAAAAAATTCCCGGAGGCTGGAGAGATAGTACAGTGGGTGGAGCTCTTCCCTTGCATGTGACCAGCCTGGGTGTCATCCCTGCATATTGCCACCGGCCCCCCGAGACCCTCCAGGAGTGATACTTGACAACAAAGCGAGGAGTACTACTGGGTATTCCCCAAAACTCAAAGGGAGGGCGTTTGGTTCTGTCTCCAGCACCCCATATGGTTCCCCAAGCTGCTCAGGAGTAACTCCTGAGTGCAGTGCCCGAAGTGACCCCTTAGTTATATCAGGGGATTGGGTGACCCAGAAACCCAAAAGGAAACACCCATCAGGGGAGGTGGACAGGGGAACATGAGAGAAGATAACGTTAAAGGGTCAGAAATAGTATAGGACTTCCCAAAAATAAATAAATAAATAAATAAATTTTAAAAATGGGGGCTACAGTGATAATACAGCTGGTAGGGCCTTGCATCCAGTCAATCCGGGTTTGATTCCTAGCATCCCTGAGCACCACTAGGAGTACTTTCTGAGTGCAAAGCTGGGAGTAACCCCTGTTCATTGCCAGTTATTACCCCCCCGCCCCAAAATAGTACAGGGCTTAAGGTGCTCGCTTGGTGTGGCCCACCTGCTTTTAATCCCTGTCACTACATGTTTCCTCAGTGCTGAACTCAAACCCAGCTACCTCCTGAACACTTTAAAATATTGTTGAGTGGAGAAGTGTGGTCACTACACCTCGAGTTTCTCCTTCCCATCTCACCTTTAGAATCCTAAGGTCAGCTATTGGCCCAGCAGTCTTCTGTTCGGCCATGCCTGGCAGTGCTCAGGGCTCACTACTGGCGCTGTGCCGAGGAATCACTTAGGTAGTGCTCTGGGAACCCTGTGGAGCATTGGGCTAGAACCTGGGCTGACCAGGCACAAGGCAAGCGCCTTAAAGCCTGGACTCTTGCTCGGGCCCCAATCTTAGCGTTTCTCCTATTTAGGTGGGTTTTGTCCAGTGGGGATCAGAAACCTTTTATGTGGACACTGTTGGTGACAACTGATTCATCGTCCCTTTTCTGCTTCCTCTTTCAGCTTTTTTCTGGCATCTTGGCAGCCTTGAGTGCTATGGTATCTCTAGAAATCCCGCAAGTTAACATCATGACAAAAATGGACCTGCTGAGTAAAAGAGCTAAAAAGGAAATTGAGAAGTAAATTCACTATAATTAAGGTCTCATTTGCTGTGCTGAACCTTTTTCGTTTCACTTCGATTGTCAGTCTACAAATTTAGTGTTTAGGATTCTTTCGTTCACCAGTCTCTCATGTTTAAAGGTTTCTAGATCCAGACATGTATTCTTTATTAGATGATTCTACAAGTAACTTCAGAAGCAAAAAATTCAAAAAATTGACTAACGCCATATGTGGGCTGGTAAGATTTTGTATTTTTCTAAATTTTGATGGTGGGGATGGTGGGCCTCCTGTACTGGGGGGCCTAGGGCCCACTCTGATTATTGGCCCACCAGGCTAGTAGTGGTCAGTGCTAGGGCCCAGAGGGCCGTACCAGCAGTATTGGTTGCTTCCTGGCTATACACAGCAATGCTCAGGATGTCATCTGGCGCCAAGGATCAAGCCCTGTGCTAATCCCTGGGCTGATGAGTTTTGCAAGTGTTTGGGGTTGTTGTGGGTTGTTTTTAAGGTTTGAGGGCCACACCCGGTGGTGCTCAGGGGCTGTTTCTCCCCTGTGCCTGGTGGACCATATGTGGTGCTGGTTGTTCAAACTGAGGTGTTTGGGGTGCAGGCCAGTTGTAACCGCTGTCGTAGCTCTTCCTCACCTCCCCCCGCACCTCCCTGGACCCATTTTTTCTTAATGGTCTTGTCACATGCTTACACACCTCCAAGCAGTGGCCACCATATGGACCGCAGAGACCAGCACATTTCTTTTTATACGGGAGCAGCATGTTGGGAGTGTTGGGCTGTCTGCTTCGAAGTTGGTATAGAAGTAGGGAGAGAGCTCAGTGGGCAGCACCACAAGCTTTGCACACAAGGGGCCCAGGGTTCATCTCCGGCACCATATTGTCGCCACCAGCGGTGTCTGGATGTTGCCTCCCCTCACCTCTGAAAAAAGTTGTCATTGGTTGTAGCAGAGAGGGCAGGAGGCCACACTGAGCAGTGGTCAGAGTTTATTCTTGGCTCTGCCTCCAGAAATCATTCCTGGTGTGCTCGGGGAGCATACGGGATGCGGGGGATCGAACCCGGGTGCATCCCTTGCCTACGTGCAAGGCAAGTGCCCAACTCAGTGTACTAGGTCTCCCGTCCCACAGCAGAGAAATTCTGCAATGTCTTTTTTTCCTGGCCACTTGGCACATCAGAATTGCCTGTACCCTTTTGAAATTTTCAGTGGTGCTTGAATGCAGATAAATTACTTTTAAAGAAGTCTCAGTTTCTGGTCGGGGCAGGAGCGATAGCACAGCAGGTAGGGCGTTTGCGTTGCATGGGTCCGAGCCGGGTTTGATTCCTAGCATCCCATAAGTCCCCTGAGAACCACCAGGAGTTATTCCTGAGTACATGAACCAGGAGTAAACCCTGTATATCACCAGGTATAACCCCAAAATAAAAAAAATAAGTCTTTAGTTAAGTAATGTTGTAATGTTACTAGTCTTCTAATAGGTCAGAGGTCATAAAAAAATTAATGCTGATTTGCTGTTGTTCTGTCTGCTCCTCCCTGCACAGGCATAGATGGTATTAATTAGACTACCAATGTTCACACTCAAGTGTCAGTTGAATGACCTTTCTGAAATCTCTAATTTGTACAATGATGACTACAGCATGGTCCGATTTTTGCCTTACGATCCGTCAGAGAAGAAAGCATGAACATTGTATTACAGCATATTGATTTTGCCATTCAGTACGGAGAAGACTTGGAATTCAAAGAACCCAAGGTAATTTCTGACGATTTAGATTTGCCGAGGGCTGGAGCGATAGCACAGCGGGTAGGGCGTTCGCCTTACAAGCGGCCAACATGGCCGACCCGAGTTCGATTCCTCCGCCCCTCTCGGAGAGCCCGGCAAGCTACCGAGAGTATTCGAATTGCCAGACACAGTAACAACAAAATCTCCGATGGAGACGTTACTGGGCCCGCTCGAGAAAATCGACGATCAACGGGAGGGCCTTTACCTTTTACCTTTTAGATTTGCCAGGGCCCGAGAACGGCGCAGAGGGAAAGACCATTCTCTGCCTCCCCTGGGCTGACGCTGGGTCAGTTCCCCGTTTCATGTCTGGTCCCTGAGCACAGAGCCAGGATTGCCCTGAACACCTCTGCCCTCCTGTTTGATCTAAGCAGCTCCTTGAGTTAAAGTCTCAGGGGCAGCAAGAACCTGGCCCGTTCTGGCTGATCTCTGGGTGTGGCTCAAGAACTCAAAACATAAAAAAAAAAATTAATAAATAAAAAGAGTAACCAAAACCCTGGTTGCGCATTTGCTGGCTTTTATGCTCCAGTACCTGATGATGCTTTGTGCCCCCTGTTCAGGGTGGTGCCCCACCCCCTGTGCTGTCTCGTTCGCCCCAATTTTGTTCATGTATATCTATTAGCACTACTACTGGGTATTATAGAGCATTGCCTGAACAGTAGGTAAATACATACTGGGTCTGCAGAGAAATCAGTGTATTTTCTGTTTTGTGTTTTATTTATATCAGGAACATGAAGATGAATCGTCTTCTATGTTGGATGAATATTTTCAAGAATGCCAGAACAAATGAAGAGTATGTTATGATGCAACTGGATGTGGGGATGGAGTGATAGCACAGTGGGTAGGGCATTTACCTTGCACGCGGCAGACCTGGGTTCGATTCCCAGCATCCCATATGGTCCACCAAGCACCGCTAGGAGTAATTCCTGAGTGAAGTGCCAGGAGTAACACCTGTGCCCTCCGGGTGTGACCCAAAAACCAAAAAAAAAAAAAAAAAGGCAAATGGATGCTTGTGAAGAGTAGCAATCACAATTTATTTAAATGAAAATATAACAGATAAAGTAAAAACAAAGAATAAAAATCATAAAATATACCGAGGCAAGATACTCATTGGTGGGAGGGTCTCCAGAGAGAGACACTGATGTGAGACCCTGGGCTTCTTCCAGTTGTAACCATGCTAGGTCCTCTGGGAACTGGTCCAATGTTGCCACAGCGGGTGGCTGTGCAGCTGGTACTGGAGAGATCATTGACGGCGATGTCCTTCGACACGGAGCCAAGTATGCTTTCAGAGCTGGAGCTAAAGAATCAATAAGAGAAAAGGTCACCCGAATGGCTCCTTCCATGGATTCTCCAAAGGTGACCCCAACAGGGAGCCCAGCAGGAAGGGGAGACCATGGGCCCACCTCACGGGGATTTCCTGTGGAAGCCTCCCCAGAATAGGCTCTCCAGCCTGTGACTCTCCTTTCCCACACCAGCGCCCAGGACACCTCTAGGTGGGCCTTTTCGCATTCCCCATTTACTTGTACATATACACACACCCCTTGGTTCTTACCCGTTTTCTTCTGGTGCTCTGAGTCTCTTTCTCTGCCATATGTGTAAGGCCAAGGCACTGAACGCGGTGCTCTTTGGGGAGTTGACAATCCTTGGCCAATCTCAACTTTCTGCTTAGATGGTGTCTGGCTCTGCTTGGTGCTGGCTGATTCCAGACTTTCTTCAGAGGAACTGGACCCAGAGGATATGTAGAAGATCTTCTTTCTCTCCTGTGGGCTGCTCTGCTGAGGGAGCGTCTCTCTCTCCTGTGGGCTGCTCTGCGGAGGGAGAACCACAAAGGCTCAGCTCCAGAAGCACTGCTTCCCCCCCCACCCCCCCTTCTGAGTTCCTCCCTGCTGGTGGACCTGCATCTACACAGGCCTCCCATAGGAATGAGATTGAAACAATCAAGTTTAGAAAAGTCTTGGCCAAAGAGCACCTCCTAGTGCCAACTCAGTGAGCAGTGACCAGGCTTTGGGGGCTAGATTTGATGACTCACCTGGTAGGAGAGGCTGCCCTCAAGATGATCTCACAACACACACACAGACACACGTACATACACAAATACACATACTCACACACACACCATCTCCAGTACACAGTCAAATTTACTCCCTCCGATAAACACGTTCACACACGGGTGTGCACACTCTTCCACACACACACAGCTTCTGCGCCATCACACTCAGGGAGGTGATGAAGACTGATCACGGTCATCAGTGCTGGGCTGCCCGGGCCAGTTCCTGCTGACCTGAACTAGCGGCTGTCTTCGTGAAGAATTCCGGGGAGTTCTCCAGTGAGTCCTCACCCAGTTTCTGAATCTTTTCAGTGTCCTACACTTGGGGGTTTTACAACCACGATTTCTTGGTAAACAGCAAAACATGTTTGCTGTCTATGCGTTTCCGCAGTGAACCAAGTAATGAGTATGGGGGCAGTTGGGGAGGCTGCAGAATGTCTGGTTGCATCACAAAGAGAGGTCGGTGATGTCATCGAGCGCATCACAGCGAGGACAGGTCAGCTGTGGCCCTGCAGCAGGGCTTGCTCTCTGTGCAGCCCCTCTGGGCTGCTGCTGCTCTCCCTCTTCCCCAAGTCCTGTCCACGTGGTGAACTCAAGGCCCTGGGGAGAGCAGGGAGCAGCCACTTGAAAGAATGTGCTGCTAAAATGTTATTTTCCTTTTTTTTTTAAAATGTGAGTGGACTGCTATTTATTCGGCCACTGATTAACTGATTGAATTGGGCATGAACTCCTCCTTACACTCTTTTTTTCATTTTTTATCATTGTCTTTATTGAATCACCGTGAGAGCAGTTACAAAGTTTCGGTTCTATGTCGGGTCTAAGTCTCAGTCATGCAATGAAACTCCGGTACCTTCACTAGTGCCCATTCTTCACTACCAAAATCCCCAATATACCCCCATCCCACACCCTCCCCCTACCTGTGGGGCAGATGATTTACACATTACTCTCTCTCTACTTTGATCACATTACTCTCTCTCTCTACTTTGATCACTTTGACCCAGCAATACCACTCCTGGGAATATATTCCAGAGAGGCAAAAATGTATAGTCGAAGTGACATCTGCACTTGTTTCTTCATTGCAGCACTCTTTACAATAGCCAGAAACTGGAAGAAACCTGAATGCCCAAGAACAGATGACTGGTTAAAGAAACTTTGGTACATCTACGCAATGGAGTACTATGTAGCTGTTAGAAAAGATGAAGTCATGAAATTTACATACAAGTGGTACAATATGGAAAGTGTCATGGTAAGCGAAATGAGTCAGAAAGGAAGGGATAGACATAGAAAGATTGCATTCATCTGGGGGATATAAAGTAACAAAATATGAGATTAATACCCAAGAATAGCTGAGATCAGCACCAGGAGCATAGAGGCCAGCCAGGTATTCTAGAGGAAACGGCAGTTCAGATAGAGAAGGGAGCACCAAATAAAGGGTGTTTGGAGGATCCTCCCAGGAGGGGAGATGCATGTCGAAAGTAGACTATGGACTGAACATGTTTGCCACTCAATGCCTCTTTTGCAGACCACAACACCCAAAAGGAGAGAGAGAACACGGGATTGCCCTGCCACAGAGGCGGGGGGGATGGGGGCATGGGGGTGGGGGGGTTATTATCCATGGTGGTGGAAAATGGGCACTGGTGAAGGGATGGGTATCTGATCATTGTATAATCGAAACCCAAGCACAAAAAATTGTAAATCTACAACTGTACCTCATGGTGTTTCACTAATAAAAAAAAAGATAGTAAAAAATTAAAAAAAAATTTAAATGGAAAAATTTAAAAAATTATATATTTTAAAAATGAAATTAAATTTAAGAAAAAAAAGGAAAATGGGAATTTGTGGGTGCTGGGCGGCCAGGGCTCTGGGGGAAGAGCAGAGAGTGTTTATTGTGCAATAACTTATTCGTTACCACCCTCATTTTTTAAAATTATTATTAGTATTATTATTATTTCTTTTTGCTTTTTGGGTCACACCCGGTGATGCCCAGGGGTTCCTCCTGGCTCTGCACTCAGGAATTACTCCTGGTGGTGTTTAGAGGACCATTGGGGTTGCTGTGAATCGAACCTTGCCGGCCACTTGCAAGGCAAATGCCCTGCCAGCTGTCATATCGCTCTAACCCCCAAATTTTTTTATTTTATAAAGTTTTTTACAATATTTGATTACATTCAATATTCAGACTCCAATCCCACCACCAGTACACCTTCTCACCACCATATTTCGGATAGTTCCATCCCGAACCTTAATCCCTGTCCCAAAGCAGAACTCAAAGAATCTATTCTCTTGTATTGCTTGATATGAAAAACTGCCAGGGCGCTGAAGTGATAGCACAGTGGGTAGGACGTTTGCCTTGCACGCGGCGAAACTGGGTTCGATTCCAAGCATCCTATATGGTCCCCTGAGCACCATTAGCCAGGGATAATTCCTGAGTGCAGAGCCAGGGGAAATTCCTGTGCATCGGCAGGTGTTACCCAAAAACAAACAACAACAAAAAAAAATCTCTGAAAATCCTATAAAAAAAGTATCCTTAGAGGAAAGAGTGTGTATTCTACTCAGGGGCCATTGAGCCCTTCTATAAGTGATCACTAACATGTTGTAAAAGGTTGAACCTTGTGTATATATATATATACATATATATATATATGGGGCTGGAGCGATAGCACAGCGGGTAGGGCGTTCGCCTTACAAGCGGCCAACATGGTCGACCCGAGTTCGATTCCTCAGCCCCTCTCGGAGAGCCCGGCAAGCTACCGAGAGTATTCGATATGCCAGACACAGTAACAACAAAGTCTCCAATGGAGACGTTACTGGGCCTGCTCGAGCAAATCGACGATCAACGGGAGGGCCTTTTCTTTCTTTCTTTCTTTCTATACATATATAAAGTATATATGTGTGTGTATGTAAAAAATATATATATATTTCCCTCTAAGATTGGTTGCCTGCTACTTTGAATCCTGTCAAACGGGGTACAGTATTTTTGGAGTATGAGCTCCCGCATTTTTTTGCTTTTGGGATCACATCCAGTGGTGCTCAGGGCTGACTCCTGGCTCTGTGCTCAGGGATCACTCCTGGCAGGCTTCCAGGATGGTCCAGGGATTGAAAGAGAGACAGCCTTGTGCGAGGGGAGTGTCCTGCTCTCTGGAATCTCCATGTCCCCACACCAGGGCCCCTTTAGTTCCACAGCCTTTGTTTTTGGATCATACCTGGCACTACACAGGGGATACTCCTGGCTTTGCACTAAGGAATCACTCCTGGCAGTGCTTGGGGACCATATGGGATGCTGGGGATGCTGGGAATCGAACCCGGGTCAGCTGAGTGCAAGGCAAACTCCCTGGCCGCTGTGCTACGCTCCAGACCCTATTTTCATTTGCAAAGAGAAATTGAATCCAGAAAGGTTGAGCATGCAGGGCCTTGCACACACCCAATCTGGCTTTGATCTCCAAATGATGTAGACCCCTCTAAATACCGCTGGCTGTGTCCCCAAAATCAAGGGCGGGGGAGAAATCTTCCCTTTCAGTCATACTTAGCGCACCTGATCGCAGTGAGGAGACCATCTCCCAGGGATAAGGACACTGGCCGGGAAGAGGCCGCTGGCCCGAGGTCAGTGTGGCCAAGGTAGGGCTGGATCTGCACTGCATGGTGTTCTGCCCAGTCCCGGGGATTAAGGCTTAGTTTGGGCCTCAGCAGACACTGACCAGGGGCTGTGGGGGCTTGTCTGGTGGTGTTGGGTCTGCCTGAAGCTCTGTCCCCTCCTGCCTCCCGGTCCACAGAGCACCTACTGTGCTACCATGGTCCAGCTCTGTGAAGCCCTCGGCCGTTCTGTCCAGGTGGTGAACTTAGACCCCGCGGCGGAGCATTTCAACTATGATGTGATGGCTGGTGAGTCCCGGGCGCAGCCTTCCCTCTCCTTGGGGGCCCTGAGGGAGTGAGTGCTGCCCCCTGCTTCTGGGGAGGCACAGAAGCTGAAAACTTCGTTCAGACTGATCCCTTGACTACTGCAATTTATTTGTTTTATTTTTTTTTCTTTTATTGATGGGTGGGGTGGGGTTTGGGCCACAGTCACCTATGTTCAGTACTTCTGGACCTGTGCTCAGGAATCACTCCTGGTCAGGCTGAGCAAGTATTTAAGGTGCCAAGGATTGAACCTGGGTTGTCCACAGACAAGACAAGGGCAGTACCCGCTGTTCTATTCCTCAGGCCCCTGTTTGGTGTCTTTTTGTTTTTGTTTCTTGTTTTTTCTTTCTAGCCCCTGTTCAATTTTTTTGGATACAGTCACAGTTGTAATAATTACTAGTGAATGTAAATATTTTGGAATGGGCACTTATTTCCTGTTTATTCTATGCAGACATCCGGGAACTGATCAATGTGGATGATGTGATGGAGGAAGGCTCCCTGCGCTTCGGTCCCAATGGAGGACTGGTTTTTTGCATGGAGAACTTTGCCAATAACTTTGAGTGTCTGGAGAACTGCCTTGGCCATGTCGAGGATGACTACATCCTTTTTGACTCTCCAGGTAGCTCAGTAATTAGATTGTCACCTTCCCTGGGTTGTGCAGTTCTGTCCTTGGTGGGAGAAAGTGAAATTAGCATCTCATTTACTTTTATCCCAGATTCTTGGACAGTGGACAGTCATCCCATGAGGGACTGTGGAATGTCTTTTTGTTTTCTTCTGTTTGGGGGCCACATCTAGAGGTGCTGTGGGCTGGAGCTGTTCCTAACTCCATTATCAGGAGGTTGCTCCCAGTCCTGCTTGGGGGACCAAAGCATGCTGGGAACTGAGCCAGGCTTTCTGTATGCAGAGCATATGCTCAGCCTGTTGTTTCTTGGGCCCCAGGTCATGCAGCTTTATTATTATTATTATTATTATCATTGTTATTATTATTTTGCTTTACGGGTCTCACCTGGCGATGCTCAGGAGTTACTCCTGGCTTTGCACTCAGGAATCACTCCTGGAAGTGCTCAGGGGACCATATGGGATGCTCAGAATCGAACCCGGGTCGGCTGCGTGCAAGGAAGATGCCCTACCTGCTGTGCTATCACTGCAGCTCTTGAAAGGTTTGCTTTAGAGCTAGAGAGACTGAAGGATGGGTAGGATGCTGCGGCAGACACAGGTTCAGTCCTTGGCACCATATATGGTTCCATGAGTACTAGTGGGTATGGGCCAAAACCAAGGTTTTTTTTGGTTTTTTTTTTTTTTTTTAGGACCATAGTACAGCAGCTAAAGCCCTTGCCTTACTTTATGCCAGCCCAAGTTTGGATCCCAGGTACCACATAGGATTCCCCAAGCACTGCCAGGAGTTATTCTTAGTACAGAGTCAGGAATCCTCCCAGAATACCAGTGGGTGTGGCCCAAACCTCCGCCCCTCAAAATAAGAGAATAAAAAATTGTTTTAAAATCTGTCATTGTCGGGGCTGGAGCGATGCGATAGCACAGCGGGTGGGGCGTTTGTCTTGCACGTGCCCGACCCAGGTTCGAATCCTGGCATCAAATATTGTCCCCTGAGCACCGCCAGGAGTGGTTCCTGAGTGCAGATGCAGGAGTAACCCCTGAGCATCTCCGGGTGTGACCCAACAAGCAAAATAATAATAATAATAATAAATAAATGAAATCCCTGTGGCTGTCCTCCCGCTGTTCATTGATTTGCATGAGCAGGCCCAGTAACTTCTCCATCGTGAGACTTGTTGTTACTGTGTTTGTCATATCAAATACGTCACAGGTAGCTTGACAGGCTTTGCCATGTGGTCAAGATCTTCTCGGTAGCTTGCCGGGCTCTCCAAGAGGGGCAGAGGAGTTGAACCCGGTTTGGCCGGGCCGGCTGCGTGCATCGAAAATGCCCTACCACTGAGCTATCACTCCAGCCCGTTTTAAACTCATTTTTAATAATTGTAGTGCAACCAGCCAACATGGCCGACTCGGGTTTGATTCCTCTGCCCCTCCTAGAGAGCCCGGCAAGCTACCGAAGAGTATCACCTGCACAACAGAGCCTGGCAAGCTCCTCGTGACATATTCGATATGCCAAATACAGGAACAATTGTCACAATGGAGAAGTTACTGGGCCTGCTCGAACAAATCGATGAACAGGAGGACAGTGATGATGATGATGACAGTATATTTTCTTTGTATGCCCCTTTTACATACCTGTGCACCCAGAGTTGTTTAAAAAATTGTTGGGGGGGCCAGGGGAGCGGGTGTAATAGAACAATGGGTTCGGCGTTTGCCTTGCATGCAGCTGATCCCGAACCCCTGCATCCCGTATGGTCCCCCGAGCACTGCCAGGAGTAATTCCTGAATTCAGTGCCAGAAGTAACCCCTGCACATCGCCAGGTGTGACCCAAAATGAAAAAAAAAATTATTGGGGGAGCAAGAGAGATACTACAGAGGGTAGGGCACTTGCCTTGAACACAGCTAAGGTGATCCCTGCTACCCTAGATGGTTACTGGGGCCTGTCAACAGTCATCCCTGAGCACAGAATCAGGAATAAGCCCTGAGCACAATCAGGTTGCCCCCCCCCCCAAAAAAAAAAACAAAAATTGAATATAGTTTAGGGGCTAGAGAGATAGTGGGCTGGGGACATGCTTTACATGTAGTGGGCCTTGCATGTAGTAGGCTTTGCATGTAGGACTCTGAGTAGCTTCGAGCCCTCCCAGAAGTTTCAGAGAGACCCTCAAGCATCCCCACGTGCGGCTTAAAACAAGAAAAATTGGATATATTACTTGTAGGGATTGACTTCCTTTTAAAAAATGGGGGGGAGGGACCTCGGGTGCCATATCTGATGATGCCCAGGGGTTACTCCTAGCTCCTGTGCTCAGGAATTACTCCTGGCTATGCTCAAGGGACCCTATGGGATCGAACCCAGGTTGGATGTGTGCAAGGCAAGTTCCCACCCTCTATGCGATCTCTCAAGCCCCCTAAAACAGTTTCTAGGAAAAGTTTTTTTTCCCCATAGTTGAGGGTTGAATGTATCTCATGTTTATAATAAGCTCTGTTCTTGTAGGTCAGATTGAGTTGCACACACACCTGCCCGTGATGAAACAGCTGGTTCAGCAGCTGGAACAGTGGGTGTTCCGAGTCTGTGGAGTGTTTCTCCTTGATTCTCAATTCACGGCGGAGTCGTTCAAGGTTTTTTAACTATACCTGTCCTTGATTTTTCAGTCTCCGGCACAAGCAGAGTACAAAAACCTTTAGTCATAATCGTTTAATTGTTACCAGTCCATGAACTATACCCAGGAGTGACTTAGAACTTATTGTTGTTAAATTAATATGCCAAGAAGATGGCTCCAGTGGCAGAGCACAGAGCTGGTGTGTTTCGAGGCCCTGAGTTTGCCCCTTGCGCACTGTTCAGTGTAGTTCTAGTGGTCCCCAACTATCAGCTGTCGCCTTCAGGAGTTGTCCTAGGGCAGTGTCAGAAGTAAGTCACAAGCACCACTGTGTGTGGCTCCAAAACTAGAAAAATAAAAAGCTGGATGCCTGAGAGATAGTACAGTGTGTAGAGCTCTTGCCTTGCATGTGTCCCACCTGGGTGTCATTCCTGCCATACTGCCACCGGCCCCCCGAGACCCTCCAGGAGTGATCCTTGACCACAAAGCTCAGAGTACTACTGGGAATTCCCCAAAACTGAAAGGGAGGGCGTTTGGTTCCGTCTCCAGCACCCATATGGTTCCCAAAGCTGGTCAGGAGTAACTCCTTAGTGCAGAAGCCGAAGTGACCCACTAGTTATATCAGGGGATTTTGTGACCCAGAAACGCAAAAGGAAATACCCATCAGGTGAGGTGGAGAGGGAGCATGAGAGAAGATAACGTTAAAGGGTCAGAACTAGTACAGCGCTTCCCAAAAATAAATAAATAAGTAAATTTTAAAAATGGGGGCTGGAGTGATAGTACAGCGGGTAGGGCCTTGCACACAGCCAATCCGGGTTCGATTCCTAGCATCCCTGAGCAGCACTAGGAGTAATTCCTGAGTGCAGAGCCAGGAGTAACCCCTGTGCATTGCTAGGTATTACCACCCCCCCCCCCAAAAAAATAGTAAAGGGCTTAAGGAGCTCGCCTTGATGTGGCCCACATGCTTTTAATCCCTGTCACTACATGTTTCCTCAGTGCTGAACTCAACGCCACCTACCTCCTGAACACTCTAAAATATTGTTGAGTGGAGAAGTGTGGTCACTGTAGATCGCGTTTCTCCTTCCCACCTCACCTTTAGAATCCTAAGGTCAGCTATTGGCCCAGCAGTCTTCTGTTAGGCCCAGCCTGGCAGTGCTCAGGTCTCACTACTGGCGCTGTGCTGAGGAATCACTTAGGTAGTGCTCTGGGAACCCTGTGGAGTGCTGGGCTAGAACCTGGGTTGACCAGGCGCAAGGCAAGCGCCTTAAAGCCTAGACTCTTGCTTGGGCCCCAATCTTAGCGTTTCTCCGATTTAGGTGGGTTTTGTTCCAGTGGGGATCAGAAACCTTTTATGTGGACACTGTTGGTGACAACTGATTCATTGTCCCTTTTCTGTGTCCTCTTTCAGTTTATTTCTGGCATCTTGGCAGCCTTGAATGCTATGGTATCTCTAGAAATCCCGCAAGTTAACATCATGACAAAAATGGACCTGCTGAGTAAAAGAGCTAAAAAGGAAATTTAGAAGTAAGTTCACTATAATTAACGTCACATTTGCAGTGCTGAACCTTTTTCGTTTCACTTCGATTGTCAGTCTACAAATTTAGTGTTTCGAATTCTTTGATTCACCAGTCTATCATTTTTGAAGGTTTCTCGATCCAGGCATGTATTCTTTATTAGATGATTCTACAAGCAATAGCACAGCGGGTAGGGCGTTCGCCTTACAGCAGCCAACATGGCCGACCCGAGTTCGATTCCTCGCCCCTCTCGGAGAGCCCGGCAAGCTACCGAGAGTATTCGATATGCCAGACACAGTAACAACAAAGTCTCCAATGGAGACGTTACTGGGCCCGCTCGAGCAAAAACCTACAAGCAACTTCAAAAGCAAAAAATTCAAAAAATTGACTAATGCCATATGTGGGCTGGTAAGACTTCGTATTTTTACAATTTTTGGTGGTTGGGGGGTGGGCCTCCTGTGCTGGGGGGCCAAGGGGCCACTCTGATTATTGGCCAACCGGGCTAGTAGTGGTTAGTGCTGGGGCCCAGAGGGCCATACCAGCAGTATTGGTTGCTTCCTGGCTGTACCCAACAATGCTCAGGATGCCATCTGGTGCCAAGAATGAAGCCCTGTGCTAATCCCTGGGCTGATGAGTTTTGCAAGTGTTTGGGGTTGTTGTGGGTTGTTTTTAAGGTTTGAGGGCCACACCCGGTGGTGCTCAAGGGCTGTTTCTCCCCTGTGCCTGGTGGACCATATGTGGTGTTGGGTGTTCAAACTGAGGTGTGTGGGGTGGGCCAGTTGTAACCCCTGTCGTAGCTCTTCATCACCTCCCCCCACAACCCCCTAGACCCATATTTTTCTTAATGGTCTTGTCACATGCTTACACACCCCCAGGCAGTGGCCACCTTATGGACGGCACAGACAGGCGCATTTCTTTTTATAGGGGAGCAGCATGTTGGGAGCAGTGGGCTGTCTGCTTCGAAGTTAGTATAGAAGTAGGGAGATAGCTCAGTGGGCAGCACCACTGGCTTTGCACACAAGGGGCCGAGGGTTAATCTCTGGCACCATATGGTCGCCACCAGCGTTGTCTGGATGTGGCCTCCCCTCACCTCTGAAAAAAGTTGTCATTGGTTGTAGCAGAGAGGGCAGGAGGCCACAAAGAGCAGTGGTCAGAGTTTATTCTTGGCTCTGCCTCCAGAAATCATTCCTGGTGGGCTCAGGGAGCATACGGGATGCGGGGGATCGAACCCGGGTGCATCCTTTGCCTATGTGCAAGGCAAGCGCCCACCTCAGTGTACGAGCTCTCCCGTCCCACAGCAGAGAAATTCTGCAATGTCTTTTTTTCCTGGCCACTTGGCACATGAAAATTGCCTGTACCCTTTTGAAATTTTCAGTGGTTGTTGAATGCAGATAAATTACTTTAAAAGAATTCTCAGTTTCTGGTCGGGGCTGGAGCGATAGCACAGCAGGTAGGACGTATGCGTGCATGCGTCCGACCCGGGTTTGATTCCTACCATCCATAGGTCCCCTGAGCATCACCAGGAGTTATTCCTGAGTACATGAACCAGGAGTAACCCCTGTGCATCACCAGGTGTAAAGTAAAGTAAAGTAAAGTAAAGTAAAGTAAAGTAAAGGCCCTCCCGTTGATCTTCAATTTGCTCGAGCGGGCCCAGTAACGTCTCCATTGGAGACTTTGTTGTTACTGTGTCTGGCATATCGAATACGTCACGGGGAGCTTGCCAGGCTCTGCCGTGCGGGCGAGATACTCTCGGTAGCTTGCCGGGCTCTCCAAGAGGGGCGGAGGAATCGAACTCAGGTCGGCCATGTTGGCTGCGTGCAAGGCAAACGCCCTACCGCTGTGCTATCGCTCCAAAAAGTCTTTAGTTAAGTAATGTTGTAATGTTACTAGTGTTCCAATAGGTTAGAGGTCATAAAAAAATTAATGCTGATTTGCTATTGTTCTGTCTGCTCCTCCCTGCACAGGCATAGATGGTTTTAATTAGACTACCAATGCTCACACTCAAGCGTCAGTTGCATGACCTTTCTGAAATCTCTAATTTGTACATTGATGACTACAGCATGGTCCGACTTTTGCCTTACGATCAGTCCGAAGAAGAAAGCATGAACATTGTATTACAGCATATTGATTTTACCATTCAGTACGGAGAAGACTTGGAATTCAAGGAACCCAAGGTAATTTCTGATGATTTAGATTTGCCAGGGCCAGAGACCGGCGCAGAGGGAAAGACCATTCTCTGCCTCCCCTAGGCTGACGCTGGGTCAGTTCCCCGTTTCATGTCTGGTCCCTGAGCACAGAGCCAGGATTGCCCTGAACACCTCTGCCCTCCTGTTTGATCTAAGCAGCTCCTTAAGTTAAAGTCTTGGGGGCAGCAAGAACCTGGCCCGTTCTGGCTGATCTCTGGGTGTGGCTCAAGAACTCAAAACCAAAACCAGAAAAAAAAGAGTAACCAAAATATAAATAAATAAACATAAATAAAAAGTCCTGGGAGCTTGGTGTGATAATCTATGTATCCTGGCAGTTGTTCAGGTTACACAGCAGTTGGTGGGTGTAACTGTCTAGCTACTGGAAGGTCCAGTTCCAAACCGTGTAGGCTTGGAGATCTCAGCCCCGGGTCCCCCACACCTGGGTTCCTCTGCCAGTTCCTTCATGCGTGAAGCCCATCGAAGCGTGTGGAGACTGGTCTCAGCATGACTTTGGCCTTACGCCAGACGTCTTCTGCTGTTGGCCCTGGTGAGGACAGTCAGGCACGAGGTAGGAGTCTCCGCCTTGTTCTCTCCCGGGAGCTTGGTGTGATAATCACGTGATTATCAGTGATTCATTAAAAAGTAAAAAATTTAAAGAAACAAATTAAAAATGGAAAAATTCAAAAACTTAAAAATTTTAAAAATAAAATTAAATTTAAGAAAAGAAAATGGGATTTGGTGGGGAGCCGTGCGGCTGGGTTTCTGGAGGAAGAGCAGTGACTGTTAATTGTGCAATAACTTATTCCCTACCACCCTCATTTTTAAAAACTATTATTATTATTATTTTTTTTTCCTTTTGGGCCACACCCGGTGATGTGCAGGGGTTCCTCCTGGCTCTGCACTCATGAATTCCTCCTGGTGGTGCTCAGAGGACCATAGGGGATGCTGGGAATCAAACCTCGCCGGCCACTTGCAAGGTAAATGCCCTGCCTACTGTCATATCGCTCCAACTCCCCAATTTTTTTATTTTATAAAGTGTTTTACAATATTTGATTATATTCAAGATTCAGACTCCAATCCCACCACCATTACACCTTCTCACCACCATATTTCGGGTAGCTCTATCCCGAACCCCAATCCCTGTCCCAAAGCAGAACTGAAATAATCTATTCTCTTGTATTGTTTGATATGAAAAACTGCCAGGGCGCTGGAGTGATAGCACAGTGGGTGGGACGTTTGCCTTGCATGCGGTGAAACTGGGTTCGATTCCAAGCATCCCATATGGTCCCCTGAGCACCATTAGCCAGGGATAATTCATGAGTGCAGAGCCAGGAGAAATTCCTGTGCATAGACAGGTATGATCCCTCCGAAAAATATCGCTGAAAATCCTATAAAAAAAGTATCCTTAGAGGAAGGAGTGTGTATTCTACCCAGGGGCCGTTAAGTCCTTCTATAAGAGATCACTAACATGTTGTTAAAGGTTGAGCCTTGTGTGTTTATATATATATAGCACAGCGGTAGGGCGTTTGCCTTGCACACAGCCAACATGGCCAACCTGATTTCGATTCCTCCACCCCTCTCAGAGAGCCCGGCAAGCTACCGAGAGTATCTCGCCCGCATGGCAGAGCCTGGCAAGCTACCCATGATGTATTTGATATGCCAAACAAAGTAACAACAAAGTCTACAATGGAGACGTTACTGGACCCGCTCGAGCAAATTGAAGAACAATAGGAGGACAGTGATACAGTGAACCAAAACCCTGGTTGCAGATTACGTGGCTTTTGTGCTCCAGAACCTGATGGTGCTTTGGGCCCCAGGTTCAGAAAAGGCAAGTGCCCCACCCCCTGTGCTGTCTCGTTCGCCCCAATTTTGTTAGTGAATATCTATTAGCACTACTACTGGGTATTATAGAGCATTGCCTGAACAGTAGGTCAATACATACTGGGTCTGCGGAGAAATCAATGAATTTTCTAATTTGTGTTTTATGAAGATGAGTTGTCTTCTATGTTGGATGAATATTTTCAAGAATGCCAGAACAAATGAAGTGTATGTTATGATGCAACTGGATGCGGGGCTGGAGTGATAGCACAGTAGGTAGGGCATTTCCCTTGCACGCGACAGACCTGGTTTCGAATCCCAACATCCCATATGGGCCACCAAGCGCCGCCAGGAGTAATTCCTGAGTGAAGAGCCAGGAGTAACACCTGTGCTCTCCGGGTGTGACCCAAAAACCGAAAAAAAAAAAAAAAGGCAAATGGATGCTTGTGAAGAGTAGCAATCACAATTTATTTAAATGAAAATATAAAAGATAATGTAAAAACAAAGAATAAAAATCATAAAATATACAGAGGCAAGATACTCATTGGTGGGAGGTTCTCCAGACAGAGACACTGATGTGAGACCCTGGGCTTCTTTCAGTTGTAAACATGCTAAGTCCTCTGGGAACTTGTCCAATATTGCCACAGCGGGTGGCTGTGCAGCTGGTACTCGAGAGATCAGTGTTGGCGCTGTCCTTGGACACGGAGCCAAGTATGCTTTCAGAGCAGGAGCTAAAGAATCAATAAGAGAAAAGGTCACCCAGAGGGCTCCTTCCATGGATTCTCCAAAGGTGACCCCAACAGGGAGCCCAGCAGGAACGGGAGACCATGGGCCCACCTCACGGGGGTTTCCTCTGGAGGCCTCCCCGGAATGGGCTCTCCGGCCTGTGACTCTCCTTTCCCACACCAGCCCCCAGGACACCTCTAGGTGGGCCTTTTCCCATTCCCCTTTTTCTTGTGCATATACACACACCCCTTGGTTCTTACCCGTTTTCTTCTGGTGCT